TGATCTTTTTTTATACAGTTAGGATGTCCACTTTTATTTTTTAATTCTACTACGATTGGATCAGCATGCCATTTTTATGTACATTCACATTTGTTTTACAGTTAAAAAGAATTCTACTGCATCTAGTGATCTTTTATAATTGATCCAAATGTGCTGGTATTTGTACATCGTACTTACGGTAAGTGAAGACTGAGGACATCTGCACAAAGAGGAGCAGAAGAGATGCTCTACTGAAGCTCATAATTCTGGTTGATACAAAGAAGATAAAAAAGAAGATTTAGGTTAGGTAATTTAGGTTTTGCCAAATGTGCAGGTACTGTAGTACAAAAACTGAATACATGCACAGTCAAGTGCAAATCTGTCAAAAAGTTGCTAAATACAGTGAATTGTTGAAAAATGTAAGATGACTGAAATAAAAATGTTAATTCTTACCCTGAATTTGTTCACATAATCAACAAAGAGTCAACTCTCAGGCAAGGCAAAGCTTATCATTACTATTTACTTTAAATACCATATTCAGCATGGACACTATCCAATCACATTACATTACGGAGTTTACTCCCACCACTTATCACCTTTGGACACCTTTGACAAAGTTTATATAATGCACTTTCGTGTTTAATATTACTATTTGACTTCATTTTCCCGAGTGGATCATTACGGTTTTGCCATACTGCTCCACTTGATTGAATTTTATTACTAATTTATTTTTTACTCTAAGTTATTACAATTGGAAGAGACATGACCGAGGGATAGGAAGGGGAAAGATGTAGACAAGAGAAGTTGAAAAAAAAGAAGAGGGACCGTGAGGAAAGACACTAAAAATCTGCTAGATCACCTGCTGGGAAAAAAAGGAAAACAAGCATCCTGGCAGAAGAAACAGAAAATGATTTATTCTTGGTCAGAACCAATGACTAGAAAATGGTCATCTGTCGAACAAACAACTTCTTCATTGAGATTAAGGAGTCGACTCGCAGTCAAATCTCTGGAGGAGGAGTCAGTCATTTTAAGTCACATTAGTCATCAACACCCTCGAGTCATATCAAATGATAGTCTTGCAAACATGTTACAGAGCATTAATGCACATTCAGGTCTCACAGTGCTATTTGACTGGAAATTACTGAGTTAAGTCTTTTATCTTTTTACATTTCTTTTGTCTTCCACAATTTAAACACATCATCATCAAAAGACAGATATTAGTTGTGTTGTACACTGTAACAATATTTCCAGTTGTCATTGTGATGTTGTACAGTTACACCTTTATCTACAGGTTATGTTTTTTTGGTTTTCCATATAATTCAAAAAGTCAGCATTTTGTTGATTACTGAACTTTGTACTTAACAGTTGAGTCAACATGAAGGCCTATCAAAATATTTGCATGTCGTTACCTCACTCTGTGCTTGGGTAAGTATTACACAGTTCAGTGTCACCATATGAATGGACTGTAACGATGCTCTCAATAACTATAACTTTAAAAATAAAAATTCTAAAATATAATAATAATAAAAATAAATATAGCATAAAACCACCAGTCCCTTTTTTTAATAAAACATTAAAATGTTGTATAACTCATACTGGTCAGGTAGCATAGAAACATGGAAGCACTTTGAAATTCTAGTATTAAACGTCTAAATGAAATTATGTTAAGGTAATTTCTCCCCACACCTCCTTTTAAATATACACATTAGTAATACTTAGAAAATAAAAACAGCAGTTATTGTTTTTAAAATGTAGAAAATTGTCT